GCCCGCGTGGCCCCGGGCAGCTGCAGCCCTCCGAGCACAGAGGGGCTTTATGCCCTTCCCGCTGCTGCCGGCGGCGGCCACGCGGCCCGTTCTGCTGCTGTGACAGCCTGTCGCAGGCTGCTCCGCCAGCGCAGCTCGCCTTTCTGCACAGCCCCGCAGCGGCTCTCTCTGAGGGGCCTAAGGGAAATGTTTTCCTTCCTCCACCTGCGAGGAAACGGGCTTGCACAGAGCACGCAGGTTCATTGTGCTGGAGTAGAATTAAACCTGATGATAAAATGCGGTTTGAGTAGTAGAGCTTTGCCTTTGAGGGGCCGGTGCTGGCTGCCAGCGCGAATGACACGGGTGTTTTGGTTCATTTTTTTCCTTCTCGGCGMCAAATCTCTATTCCCCACTGGTTCTATATAGATACAGATGCGGGCGACCATGCTGGCCTCTCATCCAGCGCCCGCTTTGTCTGTCGCCCTGGTCTCGGAGAGCAGCCCTCGTGGTTGTTGCTGCTGTTATATAACCCCGCGCRCTGGGTTAACCCCTCGTGCTGGGTGCTCTGCCCGTCAGCAGCTCTGCAAGGGCCATCGCTGCAAACGGGAGCAGCGCAAGTTCCCTTGCGTGTTGCAAGACCCGGGCATCTGCTTCTGGAGAGCAGCGTTGCTGCTCTGGCACCTCGTGGGCATTTCCACGTTTGCTCTCGGTGGGTATTTATGTACACACAGAGGGCTTTGTGATCGTTTGCACGTGGGCCCTGGCCACACGTGTGCTGTGCGAGGAGGCCRGCGGCGCCGCGCCACGCAGGGACGTTCATTAAAACACAAGTATTTACTGGCCGCATCTCCTGCCCAGCTGTGGTTGGGTTGTATGAGAACCATTTCCTGCCGTTAAGGAAAGTATTTGGCGTTGCAGTAACTCGCGGGGAGGAAGAGGCTGCAATTTGTGATACCTTGTGCGCTCCTGTGCGTGGGCATCGTCTTTCCCCCTCCCGTTTCCCTGCCATCTGTTTTTCAGCGCCTGACGTTTTGCGGAGCCTCCCCCAGCGCCTCTCCCCACCCTGGTGGGAGTTGAGCTCTGTGCAGACGCCGGGAGCGCTGCCGAGCAGAGTCCCGGGATCCGATACCTCCTGCTTGTCCTCTCGTGCCAGGCAGTGCAAGCGCCCTTGCCCGTTGCCCTCTAGCACACAACAATCTGTTCGTCCATCCTTGGGTGGGTTCCTGGCTCAGAGCCTCTGCTGAGGTTCGTCCTGGCCGTTGGCTTGGTCTTGGTTGGCCAACTGGTACCTGTTCAGCTGCTGGGGAGGTATTTCCCAGGGACAGGAGTTGCTTTTCCCCAGTGCATCTGTGGCTGTCGGTGTCGTGGAGCAGAGAGGCTGACTTTGGAAGGCATCCGAGGCCTTCATCGAAGGGAGCGTGACGGCAAATAGGAGGAGCGCAGAAGGAGCAGCGTTCGGGCAGCAGCAGTCAGTCATCTGCACGAAGCAGGGAGAGAAACAACTGCCTTGGCAGCCGTTGGGCAGATCCAAAGTGAGTCAGAGGCTCAGCATGAGTCAACGGTATCACACGGCTGTGGAAAAGGCACACGTCATCGGGGACTCTGTGAGGAGCTGCAAGGCACGTGAAGGATTCCTGGATTCCGTGCTCGTGGAGCTGGAGCCTCTTCCCGTTTTGGACGCTGCGTTTCAAGGAAGAGGTGGGCCAAGAGGAGAGAGTCCAGGGAGAGCGGCGAGAAGGGTCAGAGGGCTGGAAATCCAYGAGGAATGAGGAAAAGCCTGCGAGAACTGGGATTGTTTAGTCTAGGAAAGCGAAGGCTGAGGAGGGGATAGGAAGAGTTTTCAACGACCTAAAAGGCCGCTGCGAAAAGTAAGGGAATGAAGCGCTTTTGGTAGCTGCCAGGGAGGAGATAGCAAGTTATATGGACAGGCTAGGCAAAGAAATCCCTGTTAGACTTAGGAGAAGACTTGGAGAAGTCTTTGGAGAAGACTTAGGTAAGTGAGAGGCTAAGGATGTCCCAAAATCTCTATCGTGTGTGGGATTGATGTCAGGAGGCCTTCCAGAAGAGGGGACCTGATCCCTCAGTGGATGGARGGATGGACTGAGAGGCTCTTTTAGTCCTGTTTTCATGTGGCTTTAAGAGTGTTTTGTAAAACCAGCAATTGCCAAGTCAGACTCACGTTTCTGAGACGGCCTCGCGTTCCCAGAACGGCCCTGACCTTCCTGTTGCAAGACAGGGGTTACTTGTGACGACGCCACTTTATCATTTGTCTTGCAACAGTTCACAGAGGTCTGGGTCGAGCACCAGGCTTGCTTTGAGATGGGAAGAAATGGGATTGTTCCGGAGAGGAACACAGAGCGGTTTTGTTGGAGCAGCAATGGAGGCTTTGGCTGCGCTASGCCCCTGTGTCCGCGCGTGGCCAGGGCTGTGTCCCAAGGACATGGGATGRGTGCAGGGAAGTCCATCCACCAAGACGGAGCTCAGAGCTCCCTGGTGTGCTTATTTGCTCTCCAGAGGCTGATTGGGGCTGTGCTTTTTAATTGAGGAACATAGGAGCGTGTCGCTGTGTCCTAAATAGCCGATTGTCCTGATTCTCATCCCCGGGATCCATTATGCCTTAGCGAATTACTGTCTCTCTTTTAAGTGCCTGGGTGATTGAAGATGCCACAGCAGATACCCTTAATGAGTACAAAAAGGGTAATAATTCCTCTTGTTGGCACTGAAGGCAATTAATCAGGCCCCTTTACTTGCTTTTGAAACAGATGAGGCATTTAAGGCCAAGCAAGTTTTTAATTGGACTTTAATGTCTCTCATTTACTTCATTCTGGCACAAGCGTAGGAATTCCCACCCCCAGGTTGGCTGTTGGCTTCTGTCAGGGTGTTGAAAGGCTCGGTGCAGAGTGAAGAAACAGCAGCAGATTTGAACACGTCCATCCCACCGTGCCCAGCCCTGTTGCAAAGAGCAGAGACTTGGCAGGCAGGAGCAGAGCTGCCGATGCCTCCCTGCCTGTCCTAGCGCAAAGGCTGAACTGCAGGTAAAACTGTATCCACAAAGGGCCTTCAGAGAAGCTCTTTGTTGACTATCCCCTGCTTGTTCACATRTCCTCTGCCCACCAGCACTGGGGAAAGCTGTAATGGGCTGGATCAGACAAAGCCCTTCTCCAGGTCCGGCCCTGGGTGCTGTTGCTGCAGCTCTTGCTGAAAAGCCCAGGCCTTGGGCAGATCCCATGTCGCATCCTTGCTGTTCTGCGTGGGGTCGTGTCTGATTGTGCTGATGAGCCGAGGGAATAAACTTCAAAAAATAAATATATAATTCAATAAATAAATGCAAAGCAGCTGTCCGAGATGTCGGAGCGTGGCAGAAGCTTGGCTCCCATCCCTCGGATCGTATCTCCCCTCTCCCTGCAATTGGAACATGTATCTGATGCTAGATTTGGCAGAATCTGGGGGGCTGAGGGAGGGCTTGGGGTTTATTATGTGGTCTTCTGGCCTGGCAGTATGAGGARGGGCAGACACGTACATCCAGCAGATCTGGAGCAGCCCAAGGTGCCCTTAATCCCGGCTCTTGCACCTCGGATATCCCAGCTAATGTCAGGGAGCTGCCGCCCCAGGTGACCACAGCCAGCCCGTCCTGCTCCGCAATTCTGCTGCCTGAAGCTCCTAAAGATGCCATCTTCTTTGATCCAATTCCCTATAAACTGTGGGATTATTTTTCTTTAGAGACTTGCAAATTAGGGGAGCGTGAGCGAGGGTAATGATCTGATAAGGACAGCTTTGGCTGCTCTCCCAAAAGCAGCAGCTCGCGGCGGGCAGAGCGTGCGTGCTGCCTTCACCTGGCTGCCTTCCTCCTGCTCCCCCCCCTTCCCAAATTCCTTTATCTCCTGGAACGAGAATCATTTCCTCCCGGGCTTTTTTGCAGAGACGAGGGCTTCGCAGACCTGCAGTTATCTCTGGAATGTGCGTAAACAAGGAGTTCAACGGGACGGGGGTTGCCCCCTGCTCTTGGAGGGGGAATCAAGAACGGGTTAATACGCGTTTGGTTTTGCCCGTTCCGAGCTCTGAGAAGCGGCTTCCCCGGCCGGTGACCCGGCCGACCCCAGTCCTTGGTGCCGTGCGAGCGCGCTTCCCGGCACAAAGCAGGGATTGAGGCGCCCRGGCGCGTGGGTGGGATCCGGGTCCTCGGCGGAGTGGCGTGGAGCGGATGGGATCATCAGGCTCAGCCTGACGATGGCTCTGCTCGTCTGGGAACAAGGTGGCCTGGGGTGGCTTTCCTGCTACCCGGGATCCCAGGGCACTTGCTGTGGGGATCAGCGTGCCCTGCAGTGGTCTAGCTAATGGGATTTACCCTCTCCTTGGCTGGAAAAGGAGGATTTCCTTGAAAAAACCATCCCATCCTTTGGAAGAAGGATGCCTTGCTCATGGTGGGGATTACACGATGTTCCCATGTCCCTGGTTTCAAAGGCTGGCAAAGCATGGGGGGATAAAATGAAATCTCAGAAATGATACATGGGCTGGGACAAAATGCATTTCAGTGAGAGGCACAAAGCACTCCATCTGCTTGTCAGAAAGGAGACTCAGATGCAGCCCCATTGCAGCGTGTGAGGACAGTGCTAATGAGAGCAGCCCGGGCACCGAGTGCTTTTAGATTTAGAGTCAGCAGCAACAGCCAGAAACGAGAGCTAGACAAAAACTCACGATGGAAATAGGCTTGTTGGTAAYGAAGAAATGGTTAAATCCTGGATGTGTGTTCAGTGCCAGTGACGCACTGAGCCTGGATCCCRTCCAGAAAATGGCGCTTTAAGCTGAAGACAAAGAGTTGGACTTAGCACRGAGGTGATCGGGGAATGGCTCAGCCTGGGATACACAGGGGTCAAACCGGATGCTTTAATGATCTCCTCTGCCCTGAAAGCTTTCTGTTCCCTTTAGAAGATAAATGAAAAAGCCCATTCACAAAATGAGAGCGTTTGAGACATGCATCTAGCGAACGCTCYTGCATACAGGGCTATGAGAGAGTAGGATGTGCAGGAGATGCGACTTTGCTGCCTGAAGATGGTGGCCATCTGCTCAGTAGAAGTGGCTCTCCATCATGAAGGTTCCTGTTCTTACACGTGACACTTCTCAGCTCTGTTTTTAATTGCTAACACACGTGCCCTCCCTGTATTGAAGTAGCCTTTGCTTCCTTGTCCCCTTCAGGGTGAAGCGGCCGAGTGGCATGAGCAGCCTTCTTGGAAAGATCACCTCCAAAAAGCAGAAGATGAGCACGCTGGAGAAATCCAAGCTGGACTGGGAGAACTTCAAGGAGGAGGAGGGCATTGGGGAGGAGCTGGCGATCCATAACCGAGGGAAAGACGGGTAAGAGAGACTTCATCTAATAATAGCCCAGCATTTCCCACCGCTTCCGAGCGAGCTGGGATTTGTTAGGAATTTATAGATATATAAAGCCAATAGCTGTTCCTGGTGTCTTGGAAGGACTGCCGAGATTGGGAGTGGCTGAAGGCAGGCCCCTCACTTGCCTAACAGCCTTCCTGGATTCCTCAAGTCCAGCTAAGCTGGAGCCTGGCCGTGCTTTATCTGCACTCCCGTTCATGGCACAGATTCCCTGTGAACCAGTCTAATGCAGCACTCTCCCAAAGAAACACCACTGAYTTTGCCTTATTTTGTTTTATTTTAAGTCCCAAATTAGGAGGTACGTTTTTAATTTCGTTCTTCAAATAGCCCTTTCCAGCTGCCTCCAACCTCCCTCCTCCTGGGTAAAGATATGAGCCCAGAACAGCTGACAAGGTGCAGAGCAGATTATGACAGTACTTGGTGTTGGCTGTGTGCATCAAGCAATGTGCACTCCAATGGAGGTGATAGAAATGTCCCAAAAGTAAATGGTGATGCTGTAAATAAACCCAAAAGTTAGTAACACAAGCTGCAGGGAAGGTTATTAAGATCAGAAGCAGCATTTCCACTCTAAGTACTTTTCTAGGCTCTGGGGAAAAAATAACCAACTTTGTGGACAGCTCATAAAATGTACTTTTGATATAAGCTGTTCTCCTGCTCCGTCTGCAGGCAAGCTCAGAGCTTCTGGACTGCAGAGACTTGATTTTATGTTTTGCACAGGTATTTTATAATACCTGTTTGATGCGATACCTACACCTGCTCCGATTTGCTCTTGCACCTTTCCATAAACSCTGCCATGATCCGCTTCCGGGCGCTTCCCGCTTAGCAAACGGCAGAGGGAGGCTGGAGGCATTCCCAGTGATCCTGGCATGGAAGCAGCCACGCGATTCGCGTCGCGCACGTGCCAGGTCGTTGCCGATGCTGTTGGTGTCTGCACCGTAGTCAATGTCAGGTTGTGGCACCTTCGACGAGGCTCTTGTCGCAGTGGTCTGCGCCAGCCGTGCGTATTCTGGGGCATCTCTGACTTTTTGAAGCTTTTTCAAGGGTGCCCAGCTTTTTTGGAAAGTGCCATTTTCTTTCCTGGCCTGTTCAACCAGGACCGCTCTTTCTTCCTCGATGCCTGGTGAATCTTTACAGAGATGCAAACGCGATGGTCCTTGAAAGCTAAAGAAGTGAGAGACGTATAGAAGAGATGGTCAGAGCAGAGCAGCAATGTCCGGGGTATCCAAAAGCTTGAAGAGCTTYGGCTCTCGCTGCCCATCAAGTCTCACACTAGAGAATCCCCTGGGCTATGGGCAAGCCGATTTGTCCTTAACCAGGCAATAACCAGTAGTGCAAAGAGAACTGCAGGTACTTAAAAATCTGCTTGTGCTAGTTGGACATGATACACGAGGGCATCGCCTGAGCGCTCGGGAAATCAGATCCACCTTCAAGGGAAGGAAAGGGGAAAAGAGGAGGGAGGAGACCCCCTGGATGTGCAGCTCACCACACTGCTAGCCCCAGGCCCGCTGTCAGTGCGCGTGATGGGTGACAAGCCGTGCAATTCGGGAGCCGCCCTGGGCGCTGTGCGGGAGCCTGCTGTGCCCTTCAGAGCCCGCTGCTCTCCCCCTTTGCTGGGCAGCCTCTCTATAAAACCCCAGGGAGCAGTTGCAAAGCGCTCAGCTGAGGCCGGCGGGGACTGGGGCACTGCCTGGGGCACTCATGGACTTCAGGTCCCTCTGCAGCACAAGCCTCTGCTCGCTGCTTGGCACGCATTAAATTACCCTGTTTTGTGGGTGAAAATGCCTGCCCGGGGCGGGAAAGCCRCAGCTCGCTCCCGGGAAACGAGGACCTGGCTTGTTKCATTGTCACCCACGTCCAAGGCACSRCGCGAAGGGGCCCGGGGTGTTTTGAGGGAAGCAGAAGGCACCTTGAKCTGCTCGCAGTGCAGTGGCCAAGGTGGAGGGGGACATGTGCAGCCCCRTGGCTGTGTCACCCTTGCCACTGAATCCTCACCCCTCGCACCCCCCTTTCCAGAGTGGGGTTTCGTTGCTCCTGAGCAGCAGGATCCTGGCTTGTGCAGCYCAGCTGTGTCAGATCCCCAGGGCCTGTCCCGGTCTGGAAGGAGAAGCTGAAGGCAGCAGAGGAGGCAGCTCTGGCCGTCGCTGCGGATCTGTCGCTCCGATGCATTGCAGCGAGGGGAACGCGCCGCGGCCTCTAAACTGGGCCAGCTTTGTAGGGCAGGCCCGGCGGGGAGGCGGCYGCGCGCGCCCTCAGTGACGGCGACGGCCGGGGGCTCCCGCCCTCCTCCCCAGAGCGCTTCAGCTGCCGTGATGAGCAGCRACAGCCTCTTCTCCCAGCAAACGGGCCTCCGCTTGGCGAGCGGCGCCCTGGCCCCGCTTCCCTGCCCGCTGGTTGCTCATGGCCCGTATTGATTAGGGGAATGAAGGTCGTTTGGCAGAACGGACCCCGATGGCCGGGCAGCACTTGGCGCTCGCGCCCGTGCGTTTTGTCCTGCCGTGTGCGGCTGCGTGGCGCCGCGCTGGGAGCTCATAGGGAAGCTGGGGTTTATCCGTGGGGTTGCAGTGGAGCCGGGAGGCTCGTGCCCGCCCTGCAAACCTGCTGGGTCCCTGCCAGGGTCCCAGTGGTGCCAGGGACCAGCGCGGTGGCAGCGGGAAGGCAAACGAGCTGGTTGTTCCCGTCAGTGCGGGCGCGCGGGCGGCTTCGGCCCCGCGGCGCTCTGCTCCAAGGACGAGCGCGTGCGATCGCGGCATGTCCCCTGCTGGATGCAAAGCCCCCGGCCACGGCTGGGAGCCGCGGAACAGCATTCCTGGTTTGYGATCCGTATCGGCTCCCCCCAGGGAAATGAGTCCCTGGCGCCCGTGCCCGGCTCCTCGGGGAGCGGGTCCGGGCAGCTGCCCCTGCGGCGGCTGCTCCCTCAGCCGCTGCTTCGCCCCGTTTGCCCAGCACGTGGGGGCAGCAGCAGGACGCGCGGGTCCCGTCCCCCACGGGAGGCCCACGGGGCCCCAGCTCCTCTGACCTTGGCGGGGAGGAAGGCCGCGTGCCCGGGCACCGTGACGTGCTCTAATAGAGGAGTTTCACTACCCGCCCCCCCGCTTCCTTCCCGTGGCCTCGCCGCGGCAGCGCATTCCCGCTGCACCCGGGCGGGAAAAGGGAAGCGACACTCCCATGGCCAGCTTTCCGGAGCCGGCGCTCGGGAAGTGAGGCCCTCGCGGCCTCCTCGCAGCCTCGGCCTAGTGCTGTCAGCGCGAGGCGGGCTCGGGCCGCGGTGCGGTGCGTACGGCAGCAGGGATGGCACGGGGTCTCGTCCCTCCCATCCGTTCTGGTGGCTCCTCCRGGCTGTTCCTGGAGGTGGGACAGGGTCTCCTCGTTGCCACCGGGTCCCCGTTTCTTCTAGTCCTTTCGCTGGCCTCTTTTCAGTGGTGGCTACAGATAGGACTAGAGGAAATGGACACAAACTGAAGCACCAAAAGTTCCACAGGAACTTGAGGAAAAGCTTTTGGACAGTGAGGGTGCCAGAGCCCTGGCACAGGCTGCCCAGAGAGGCTGTGGAGTCTCCTTCTCTGGAGATCTCCCAAACCCGCTTGGATGCAGCCTGTGCCAGGTGCTCTGAGTGACCCTGCGTGTGCAGGGGGTTGGACTGGATGATCCCTAGAGGTGCCTTCCAACTTCAACGATTCTGTGATTCTGTTTGCCGGGCTCGTAGCTCTCCCTGTGCTTCCCCACAGGTACATCGAGAGGAAGGCCTTCCTGGAGCGCGTGGACCACAGGCAGTTCGAGATCGAACGCGACCTCAGGCTGAGCAGGATGAAGCCCTGAGGGGCCGGCRGGCGGCCTCGGGGGACGCCGCTTGCCGCCAGGCCTCAGCGCCGGCCCGGGGCTGCCGGATACCGTTCCCTACCCGAGACTCGGCCTGTCTGTCTCCGTAGGTTGTTCCTTTTACTGTAATGGTTCGGGGAGGGGGTTGTCGGCGGGCAGGGGGGCACATGGAGGGTTCAGGCGCCCACCAGACGCCGGAGGCAACTGGCCCCATCCTGGCAGGCGCTGCTGGGGGCTGGTGCCCACGTGCCCGCAGAGCCAGAAGCGCCGGGAGCGGCGCGGCCGGCGCAGCCGCTTGCCAGGGAGCCGCTTGGAGCTGCGGGGAGGCTTCGCGCCCGCGGCCTCCCTGCCCGCTCCTGCCCGGACAAAGCCGGACTGTCTCTACGTGTTTGTGAGGTCTGAGGGACGCTGGGCGTGGGGTTTTTYTTTGTTTTTTTTTAAAGCAAGCCGACGGAGAAATCCTTCCTTGTTTGCTCCGCGCAGAGGACGGGAGCAGCTGCGGCGGCCGGGGCGGGCCAGGAGCCCAGTGCACGTGAATAAAGCGGTCCAGCCCCTTGCTCGCCGGCGCCTGCTGCTTTGGGGGAGCGCTGGTGCCGCCCTCGCCGCGCGCRGGGCCTCGGCCCGGGGCGGCCCGCGGGCTGCAGAGCATCCCTGGGGAAAGAAACGAGGGGTGGGAAGCGGTTGGGCCTTCTGTCCCCGACGGCAAATCCCTGCCTAGGATTTAGGAATTTAAGGAACTCGTTAAGCCGGGGCAATGGGGCAGTATTCCCGCTAGCTCCTACACGATCCTCCCGCCGGGGTGGCAGGGCAGAACCAGCCGGTGCCCGCGTTTTCACAGCGCAAGGAGGCAAGAGGTACAAGCCGCATCCTGCTGCTCGGAGGCTGCTGCGGGGGCCACGCGCTGGCCCCTTGCGCAGGGCTCTGAGCGCGGGTCCTGCRTGGGGCTCACGCGGCGGCCGTCGCGGCAGCTCCAGGGGACCCTACTTATGCCGGGGTGCCACYGCGCACCCGCTGCCGGGGGTGCCGGGTGCCCGACCCGCAGGCTCGGGCGGGATCGGAGCGCCGGCAGGGAGGCCGCCCGCTGCCTGGCGCCCTCCGCCCGTGCTCCCGAGCGGCCGCGTTTTTTCTCACTTGGATCATGGATTTCTTGCCTCTCTTTCCTGCGGCCGAGGAGTGATTTACAAGTCTGCAGCAAACAGAGCCCTGGCTGCAGAGAGGAAAAAAAAAAATACCCAAAGAACTCCGCGCTCTGTTTGCGTCTGCCGATGGCCTTCCCACGAAGGGGGGTGGCCGGTACCCGTGGCCGTCCGCAGCGCGGGAGCACTGGGATCCCAGATCCCAGGCCGAGCGTGCAKGGAGCCCAGCGCGGCCTCCTCCCCACGAGGAGCCCAGCTCCCCGCGGCCAACGTGGGATTTGCCGGCCGCGATCCCATTAAACCTCCAAGGACCAAATCTGATTTTAAGCTCACGAAAAGCCTCTGCGTGCCTTTTCCTGCCCCCTCCCCAACCCCCAGTTCATCTCAGGAGATGAAGAACTACCCGATGCCTGGGAAAAGGCATGGGGACAAATCCCAGTTGTGATCCTGTTGGGTCCCACGGCGCTGCGAGCCGGGAGCAATGTCCTCATTATTTCCAGAATACCAAAGTCTAATAAATCCCATCCTGCCGTATAGGATTTATTTCTCCGTTCGGCACTGGGAGACGCGGCCCCGTGTAATCCTATTGCCGCTGCGGGAGCCCATGGGCGGCTTTGCAGCCAGCGGCTCCGGGGGGAGCCGGGGGCTGGAGCCGCAGGGGACGAAGCCGTTGCCTGCCAGCAGCTCCGGTCAGTGGCGGGCATGGGGCACAGCCCCGTCAGCTGCCACCTTGTCCCTGTGCCACCACAGGAAGGGGCCTGGCCCAGGCCGCGGCGGTGGGAGAAGAGCTGCCGAGAGGCAGCAGCGCCCGCTGCCTCCAGCCCTGCGCTCGGAAGAGGAATGAAGGCCGGGCACGTGCTGTCGGGGAGGAGGCGGCCTCGCGGCGCCGCTGCGGCCGTTCCGGGTCGGAGCGGCATTCCTGCCGGGAGCAGCGTTCCTGCCCGGCCCCTTGCTGCAGGGGGTCCTAGGCCAACGTCCTCTTTGTGGGTAGCAGCCCCCAAAACTCTGGCTCTCCTTGCGCTGTCCCACTGCAGGGCACCCTGCAGGGAACCTGGCGGCCACGGGAGCCGAGCGGAGCCGAGGCCGGGTGACGCGGCCCCGCTGCGGTGCCGCTTCGGCCTCGTCCGGCCCTGGGGAGCYGCCGGCACCGGTGCGGCTCGGCCGCCGTGCTGGAAACCGCCAGCAGCTGCCGGCACCAGCAGGAGGAAACTGTGGTCCCCCGGCTTTGCCTTTTGGGGCAGCCGCGGTTTTCCGGTGCCACCGCAGCCCCTGCTCGCAGTGGATGCTGCTCGCGCCTTGCGGATGTGGTGCCAGCCACTGCTCTGCCTCAGTTTCCCCCTGCCAGCACGTGGGGTTGTTTGCACTGCAGCCAAGGGCACGGAGGATGCCAGTAAGGGGGGCAGCAGGGCTGGAACCRGAGCGACCAGTTCCATAGTCTGAGGCCGCCGGCGAGGCTGGGCCAGGCAGCGGGCACGGGGATGGCGGCAGCCGTGTGGCCCGGCCACCCCACCGCTGCACGGAGCAAGGAGAGCCCCCAGGGTGAGATGGCCGGGGAGGAAACGCCGCGGCAGGGGAGCGTGCGCCCRGGAGGCGCATTCGCTGCGAGAGGTGCATTCCTGGCGTGCCTCGGCCCGCATGCCTGCCCGCCCGCCCYGCCGGGCACCCCTCGCCTGCCCCTTGGCGCCAGGTGCACGTCKGTGCTTCAGCAGCGGCGCGCGCCGCCACCGGGCTCACATGTGGCCACATGGCTCGTGCACTTGTCGCCCGTGGGCCCCGAGCGAGCTCCCTGCCCGCGGCTGTGCCCTGGCGCCCGCGGCTCTGCCCAGCACACARCCTGCGGTGGAGGTTGTGTTGGAGCGCGGCCAGAGGCAGCGGGCACACGCGGGGCAGCGGGAGCCCCTTCCTCCTTGTCGCGCTCGCGACGCTCCCTGCTCCGGTTCTGTGGCTCCGCYGCGGGCCGGGCTCATAGCGCAGCCTGGCACAGCCCGGCCCCGCGGGCCGCTGCTCCGCGAGCTGCCTTGTGCCCCCTGGCACACCCCACCGGCCGCGCCTCGCCACCCCTTCCCGGCGAGCGCTGCACAGGCACGCGGCTGTGCACACGCATGCTGCGCACGCCCACGCGCTGCTCTGCTGCACACGCTCATGGTTTCCCATCAACACGCGGCCCGTGGCGCCCCGTGCCCGCCCGTCACACACGTTCCCCACAGCGCCCGTCTGTTACGCGCTGCCCCGTGCACAGCCGCCTGTGCGCGCACTGCACACCCGCCTGCACCCACTGCAGACCCGACTGTGCGCGCTGCACACCCGCCTGTGCGCGCACTGCACACCCGCCTG